ATCAATTTGATCAAAATCTACTAAAAATTTGATTTTTCTCTTCTCCTTTTTTTTTTTTTTTAAATTTAAACCAAACAAGGGCATATGTATCAATTTGGATACTTTATGAAACTTTCTGTCATTCTCGTACCTGACTATTAAGTAAAAATTTAAAGTGGAAGCGTTTTCATGAGAGCTAAGTGATAATTAACGACGATTTAGATGGTTTTTGTTATTGGAATTGATTTCGCATTTATTAATGAAATGTAGGGACAGACAAACCTCCTCCTTCATAAATGTTATAGCCAACATTAGTTTAGACAAGGAATGAGGTAATATTCAAAAGGGCTGTGCTATTTGCACAGGACCTTGTGCACACCCTGTGCACAGGACCCTGTGCAAGAAGAAATATCCTTTGACTTATTCATCTACAAATTAATTCAATTAAGTGATCAAACCTAGCATGGTAGGGGTATGTTAGATTTTATTTATTTACTATTAAAGCAATTCAACGATTTATTTGCATTCGGTTCTTCTTTCTTTCCTTTTCTTATACGGCAGAACCTTAATAATTTAATACTTGATAAATTAATAACCTCAATTAAATAATATTTTTGATTGATCCCAACTTGGACATAACGTAATTCACTAAATTTATAAGATAATACATTATAATTATTTATATAGATCCAACATAATATATAAACTAATTTATGATAAAATTTGTATATAAAATTGTGATACATAATGCTTCCAATTCAACTACGAGACCTTCTTAAAGTACATGTTCAAAAAAGTTAGAGATGAAATCCAAGTGTGACATTAAATTCAAGAGTGGCTGAGGTATTCTCCGATGATCATTTGATCGTATATGATACTGTCCCCCACTTGCTTACAAATTATTTTTTCCCCTAAAACGCACAGTAGTTTTTTGTGCTACATTGATCATCTTTATTGTACTCGCACGATGATTTATGCATTTCATCCGTCATTGTTACTTCTTTACATCTTTAAGATGAGAAGTCATTGTTGTATTTATGATGTATTTTATACTTTGACTCTCATTTATTAGATAGAGTTTTAGCTTAGATAAATATTCATAAAATGAATAATATAGAACATTGAACAATGCATAATCCATTTTTGTGGCACCAAAAAAAAAAAAATTTAAAAAAAAAATTAAACCCCCTGTAGATTCATGAATTTTACTGGGTTAAACAAATATATAGAACCACTGGTTCATAAACTAGAAACAACAAAAAAAATGTACAATATTTAAGAAAATAAAGAATACATTAATAAACTATTAAAGTACTAATTTATTGATTATTTAATATTCACAATTAATTTTCAATGATGTCAAAGCTATAATTTGTAGATATTTAGCTGTGATTTCAGCTTCATTAAACGTCAACTAATGTTATTATTAAAGGAAAATTATATGGACCCCACATCCCTAATAAGTATAAAATACATGGTTAAGAAAAAGGATAAAACTGGGTTTACAAGTCCCATTTCACTGGGCGTGCACAGGGCCTCTCACATGAGGTCCCATCCACCTCATTAAAAAAATATGTGGAAACTACATCCATACAGGCATTTAATATTTTCAATTCAGAAATCAAGTTTAGGGTTTATTTATACAAAAAATCAGGTTATAATTCCATATTTTAATGATAATAATAATAAATTTATATACCCACATCCTATTCTATCCACCCATTTAAACCCTAAATCAATTTCGCTCTTCTTCCTCCCAATTCTCTCTCTATCCTCACTCTCTCGTTGCCACTTTCAATTGTCGTTAGGCAAGTGGTGCTACGAAGAGAAGCCGCACATCGCCGCTGCGGCAGTTCCTATGCAGTGGCATAATCACCGCTGTCACAATGGTGCTGAGAAGAGAAAGTCGTGCACAACAACATCATGTTGTCGAAACAATGTTGAGAAGAGAAAACTGTGCCACTATAATGACGCTCAGATCGCTGTTGCAACGACAATCATTGGGTGGTGGTGTTTGGGGTTTTTTTATTTTTTGTTGCTAATGAAGTGGTGGTGCAGGCAGTGGTAATAGATCTGTTGGTGTTGGTAGTGATGGTGGATTTGGCGACGATGGAGTGGATGTAGGTGCTGGTTTTGGTGTTTGTATGACATTGGTGGTGGTGGTGGTTTTCAAAATGGTGGAGGTGGATATGGAGGTGGCGGCGACGTTGTGTTGGGGTTGGGTTGTTGTGACTCGTTATTTAGATTGTGGCTAATAAAATGGTTAATTTGTGATCATTAAAAAAGTTGTGACCTATAAAATTTATTATTTGTGACTGATTTCAAAATCCGTGGTCGACAAATAAATCGTGACCTATAAATTCTTTGATTTGTGAACGATGAAATAAATTGTGACATGTCAAAAATTTTTATTGTGATTGTGTGACTAATTAATTTGATAATATGTGACCAATAATTATATTGTGACAAATAATTATATAATTGTGACCTTAATATATTTAATTAATAATATCTGAGTTTTGAAGTTTAAAACTTAAAAAATGAATTACCTCATACTTAATACTTGATTTTTGAATTTTTCCCCAAAAACATCTCAAAAATGCCCACGCATCCTATGTTTCTGAGGAGCCTGTGGGGATTCCTTGAACCCCCACCCTGACATACAGCATCGTCCTAAGAAAAAAAAATACATGAACTATTTATTTACACCGTCATTTTAATTACTCAATTTGTCCTTTAAATTATATTAAATGTTACATTAAATTCCATCACTTATTTATATAAATAATCTAATGGAGCATTTGATTGTTTGCATGGAATTTACATATAAAGAAAATAAATTGTTGGTAATTCAATTGTCTAAAATTTATTAAGTAAATGTGTTTAATTGATTAAATTTTTAATTTGAAAAATATTATATTTGTCCATTTTTATTTACTTTTTTGGATGGATAGATAAGAGAGATAGAAAAGATGAAAGAGAGAGACTTTGTGCGTTACCTGAAAAATAAAAATTATCCCTCCCTTAAGAAAATGGAAATGTCTGTGTGTAGGAATGTAAACTTACAGCCCCCTCGAGGACTGTGAGGCTTGGTGTACAGAAAAGAAAATATTTGTTTTTATGTTTTTCAAGAAGATATGACCACATGATTGAAAATTAAAAAAATTTTTATGAAAAAATTGTCATTCAAACATTCTAAATGTAGGAATTTGAATAAAAAATTTAATATTTTTCATGAAAAATAAAATTAATCAAACGCACACATTTAAAAATATCTCTCTCAAAATTTCTTGAAATTGTATCAAAGGGCAGAAAGGAGACGATAAAGACGAGAAAAAGAAAAATTAGTGTTATTAGTGCCACGGGCGATTCTTTTCATTGACACGTGGCTCTGTAAGCGTCTCCCAATTTTTTTCCCGTACGTCTCTCTCTTTCTCTCTCGCCCTGTTTTAAATTCGACAGATTCTTGCCTGGATACCTCATTTTGTTTTGACCAATCCTTTTTTTCTTCGAATTTTAGGGTGTACTCTCTCTACTCTGTGTTTGTATATAATTTCTGTATGTGTTGATCGATCATTTTCTTGAATTAGCAGTAGAATAAAGGCAAAAGAAGTGATCTTTGAAAAAAATAAAATAAAAACTTAATTTTCCAGAAGAAGATGACCCTCTTTGAAACACCCCGAGACTGTTTACTACTGTTGAATTATTTTCAGTACTGGTAGTTCATGCTTATCGTTTGACAGGAAAATAAAGGCAACAGTTTTTGTTTTTGGTTTTTTTTTTTTTTTTTCCATATATATAAGGAGGTGTAGAAGGAGCAGTGTAAAATGAAAGAAACGGAGAATCTGGAATTGTGTTTTGAGAAGATGATGGTGGAGAATATTGGTACTAAGAGTGGTGGTGAAACGAGTCGAGGGGTGATTAAAAGCGAGTGGAAAGACATACCAGTGGAGCTTTTGCTGAGGATTTTGTCTCTGGTGGATGATCAGACGGTGATTGTAGCAGCTGGGGTTTGTCATGGATGGAGGGATGCGATTTCTTGGGGCCTCACTCATCTTTCCCTTTCCTGGTATATTCATATATTCCAACCTCTTTTTTCTTCTGTCAACATTTTCTTGAACGTGCTTATGATTGCTTGTTTGTGCCTAAATGGTGATGGTGTTTCTGTTTGAAATGGGCTGATGATTACAATTTTTCCATTTTCCCTTTTTTTATTTATTTAATATTGAGTTCCATTAAACTATTAGAAAAAGAACAATTTGAATAGATGTATTTGCCACATTAGTTTGTAAGAAATATATGCAAGTTTGTTGATGTTCATATGTCTTGTTTGTTTCTTAAGTGTAATATATTTGGGTAAATAGAAATTTACACTGATAATTGATATCATGGCTTCTGATTTTGAATGGAATCTGTTCAATCAGTTAGATTTAGCATGATCGAAATACCATTGCTTATTTCATATGTTCTTGAGGTTGACAGCTGTGTTGATAAATCCACTGTTTTAATATGCCAGATAATTTTATGCTTGATAGGCCTACTTTTTGGCTGTAATCCTTGAATGGTTTATGTTTATTTCTTTTATTAAATGTGTGAAGAAAAATAGAAACCTATTTACACCAAGTTCTGTGTGCTATATATGGAGTGTAATTGATTTAGCTTATCTTTGCTCTGTTTTTCATATGTTGAGAAGTGGCATGAGTGCATCATGATCAGGAATGTAATACATTGAAGATAATTGAAGTGAAAACATTTATTTTTCCTTAGAGATCTAAAATTTAAAAGTTGATGCTTAGACGTTTCTGCATTTTCTTCAATTTGGAATTTTGTGTGTTTCCAATCAATATTTTCTTGGGAAGGGGAGAAGGATAATTTGTTTTTGTAGAACAAGTGTTCATCACAATGGATGCTTGAAATTCAAGAAAGCATTCTATTTCTCGTTAATTATTGAAGGTTGACTTTCGACCCAACTGAAATACAAAGGCTGATGTTTATTGTGTGACAATGAGGAGGAGGATTGGCCTTTATTTCATCTTGGTTGAATTGCAAAGAAAATGATGGCTTTCTTAATTGAAAAAGATTAGATGTGATAATTAGTTAAGCACTTATCCTTTGTTCAGATTTGACTGCACACTATTGTGATATCCACCTCCCCATATGATGTCCGAATTTATCTGATTGCTAACTGGATTTCTTTCCCTGTAGGTGCAAGAAGAAGATGAACGATCTGGTTCTATCACTTGTTCCAAAACTGCCAAAACTGCAGGTTTTAATTCTCCGACAAGATACACCACAGCTTCAGGATGATGCTGTTGAAACAATTGCTAGTTACTGTCATGACCTTCAAGAGCTGGATCTCAGCAAAAGTTTCAGGCTCACTGATCGTTCCTTGTATGCATTAGCACGTGGTTGCCCAAATCTGATCAAGCTGAATATCAGTGGGTGTTCGGCCTTCAGTGATGCTGCTCTTGCGTACCTCTCTGGGTTTTGCAGAAAATTGAAAATCTTAAATCTATGTGGATGCGTTAAGGCTGCATCCGATAGGGCATTGAGGGTATAAAAACTATTGTTCTGTCTATATATCATTTAGTTCCTTTATGTACAAGATGGTTTAACGTCGGTTCCGATAAATTTATGGTCAACTAAATGAATCCCTCTTTGTTTTTCGGATCTAAAACAATTAGATCAGTAGCAGTAGCAACTATGACATTTCATACTAATTCTGGTCTATCCTTCTCTCTTCTAACTTGCCAGAATAGTGTCAGTCTTATGAATGAGGCCTATTCAGGTCGGCGCTAAACGTGACCGAAGCACCTTAGTCGTTCTTTATTTACAAGGACAGTTCATAAATTATTGTTATTATTTTTATTATTTTTTTTTTCGACTCCATTACGCAGGCCATTGGATACAATTGCCATCAATTGCAGTCTTTGAATCTCGGGTGGTGTGACCGTGTTGGTGATGAAGGAGTAAAGAGTTTAGCATACGATTGCCCTGATCTCCGAGCTCTTGACTTATGTGGCTGTGTTCTTATAACAGGTATTCCCTTTGTTTTAATTCATTGGCTCATGTTCTAGTGTGGTGAGGAATAAATATAGCTTTTTCGACTAAAGATAATCAAGCATGAAGATCTATGAAATTCTTTTTGCTGCAATCAGTAAACATGAGATATTTATTGCAATGTGATTGTGGTAGAACAATTCACTAGCTTCATGTGAATCCTCTTAAGTTAATGCTTGGATACAAGGTGGTTTTCCATGGTGATAAATTTATACCATAAGCCCCATGCTACTGTTTTAGGGAAGGGATGAAATGCGAAAACGGAAAGTTATATCGTGTTATGTTATACATCATTTATCCTTTAGGTGCTTGTGTAAAGAGTTTAGCATACGGTTGCCCTGATCTCCGAGCTCTTGACTTATGTGGCTGTGTTCTTATAACAGGTATTCCCTTTGTTTTAATTCATTGGCTCATGTTCTAGTGTGGTGAGGAATAAATATAGCTTTTTCGACTAAAGATAATCAAGCATGAAGATCTATGAAATTCTTTTTGCTGCAATCAGTAAACATGAGATATTTATTGCAATGTGATTGTGGTAGAACAATTCACTAGCTTCATGTGAATCCTCTAAGTTAATGCTTGGATACAAGGTGGTTTTCCATGGTGATAAATTTATACCATAAGCCCCATTCTACTGTTTTAGGGAAGGGATGAAATGCGAAAACGGAAAGTTATATCGTGTTATGTTATACATCATTTATCCTTTAGGTGCTTGGTATGTTACATACTGGTACGTCATTTCCTCTGTTTAGTGACTTAAGCCTTTCGTGTTAATCTAAAAGAGTTTTCTTGCTATGCAGTATTAGATATGATAAGAAAGTATAATCGATAATATTTAGTTTCTTCTTTGTTAATATTGTCCAAATCCATTTTAACAAATATGCCAAAATTGTAATATTTAATGGTTGACATGGAAAGTAACGAAAGTTAGGTCTGCCTTGGCTTTCTCAGGTTTGAAATGTATATCAGATATTGTAGGTTATTGCTAGTTGCAGAGTTTTGGAACGTCTTCACTTTGTTCGTTATCAGATGAAAATTTGATATATTTTTCTGATTACTTCCTTTTTGATTCCGTCGGATTTGTGTACTAACTGAGTGACACTATTTCAGATGAGAGTGTAATTGCACTGGCAAACCATTGCCTTCACCTAAGATCCCTTGGCTTATACTACTGCCAGAGTATAACGGATAGAGCAATGTATTCCCTGGCACAGAATCGAGTGAAGAGTAAGCATGAGGTGTGGGAGTCTGTGAAGAAGGGATACGAGGAGGAAGGGCTTACGAATCTGAACATCAGTCAATGCACAGCCTTGACACCTCCCGCAGTTCAGCTATTATGCGACTCATTTCCTGCCCTTCACACATGCCCTGGTCGACATTCACTGATTATAAGTGGCTGCCTGAGTTTAACGTCTGTGCATTGTGCTTGTTCTGTCCAAGCACACCGTGCAGCCAGTTCATTCTCTCTAGCTCATTGAGTTGAGAATCGTGGAAAATCCCAAGTTTCCATTTGCTGGGTGAAGAGAGAAGTTTGGCCTTGTGTATATTCTTCTTTGACAATCAAGAAAGTCATCTGCTTGTCTTTGCCAATGTTCTGGCAGTAGAAGTAAAAAAATAAAATCGTTTGTTTGTTTTGTTGTTTTAGACTTCAATTCCCTGTGTAACTTCACAAAACTCCTGAATCTTATTTTCGAATTGTTTTATTTAACGTTCAAATGTTGAGTTGCAGAGATTATTGCTTTACACATGAAATAAAAACAGATGAGAAAAAACATAATAGAGAATTTATGATTGAATTGAGATCTATTTGTTGGTAGAAAAACAAAGATTTTGCTAAACTGAATGCAATGTGGCTTTCCAATTTTATTTATTTATTTTTTAGACATTTAACGCATTTTATCCAAGTGCCAATAAAATCACACTTATCCGGATCTTAGAAATGATGTTCATATACTCATCTTCTTTTGTAGACAATTTCTTCATCATCTACATCAAATGCTGGGTTACAGAGACACCTGAAGAGCCTATTTATGCCCTGCCATATAGAAGTTATAGAACACTTATCCGGATCTTAGAAATGATGTTCATATACTCATCTTCTTTTGTAGACAATTTCTTCATCATCTACATCAAATGCTGGGTTACAGAGACACCTGAAGAGCCTATTTATGCCCTGCCATATAGAAGTTATAGAAGTTAGATTTATTTTTAAGTTACTTATTTTGTCAAACATGATTTTCAAGATAAGATGTACCTGGGTGACGAAAGGAGCTCGACAATTTATGTTCTCGGAGGATCCTCTTGATCGCTACTTTCATCAGAATCTTTTAAAATGTTCGTCTTTTCAATGTTCAAGCATTTTGTGTATACTATTTACAGCGAATGCACAAGCACCATTCTATAATTATTCAATTAAGAAAAAAAATATATAAAAATTAAGCCATATCTCTAGGCAAAATATTCAGAGTCTACCAGGTGAAACATGTACAACTCTTAACGGCTGGAAATTCTAGTACTACCTGAAATTCTTTTCCTGGAATTCTTAAAGCCACTGCACGCATTTTGATTTCTTCCTTCCTTACGTTGTTTTCTTGTAGAACCTGTAATCGCGTCAAAATAAGTTTGAATTGTATTGGCGGCATGTTTGTTACACAGAATTTGACCGTACCGCATAGTATAATAGTCGAGATGTTAACTTTTTCTTCTTAATCTTTTGGAGTATGGTTCAATCCCACAGCAGAGGTGCAAAGGGAAAATCGACTGAAAAGATGAGAATTACAGAATGATAGAAAATTACCATTTGTCACACATGAATAGAGTTACTTCAATGTCTACCACATTCAGTTTCCATAGTGAATTCATCAGTGTGTCTTTGCTTAGTCTCAGATGTGATTCGACGTCAATTTCGGGCCACTACCATCGATCCTGAATTGGCGTCTGACGTCTTCCTGAAGTTGAAGCAACTGAAAAGAACCTCCATGGTGATAAATTTATACCATAAGCCCCATTCTACTGTTTTAGGGAAGGGATGAAATGCGAAAACGGAAAGTTATATCGTGTTATGTTATACATCATTTATCCTTTAGGTGCTTGGTATGTTACATACTGGTACGTCATTTCCTCTGTTTAGTGACTTAAGCCTTTCGTGTTAATCTAAAAGAGTTTTCTTGCTATGCAGTATTAGATATGATAAGAAAGTATAATCGATAATATTTAGTTTCTTCTTTGTTAATATTGTCCAAATCCATTTTAACAAATATGCCAAAATTGTAATATTTAATGGTTGACATGGAAAGTAACGAAAGTTAGGTCTGCCTTGGCTTTCTCAGGTTTGAAATGTATATCAGATATTGTAGGTTATTGCTAGTTGCAGAGTTTTGGAACGTCTTCACTTTGTTCGTTATCAGATGAAAATTTGATATATTTTTCTGATTACTTCCTTTTTGATTCCGTCGGATTTGTGTACTAACTGAGTGACACTATTTCAGATGAGAGTGTAATTGCACTGGCAAACCATTGCCTTCACCTAAGATCCCTTGGCTTATACTACTGCCAGAGTATAACGGATAGAGCAATGTATTCCCTGGCACAGAATCGAGTGAAGAGTAAGCATGAGGTGTGGGAGTCTGTGAAGAAGGGATACGAGGAGGAAGGGCTTACGAATCTGAACATCAGTCAGTGCACAGCCTTGACACCTCCTGCAGTTCAGCTATTATGCGACTCATTTCCTGCCCTTCACACATGCCCTGGTCGACATTCACTGATTATAAGTGGCTGCCTGAGTTTAACGTCTGTGCATTGTGCTTGTTCTGTCCAAGCACACCGTGCAGCCAGTTCATTCTCTCTAGCTCATTGAGTTGAGAATCGTGGAAAATCCCAAGTTTCCATTTGCTGGGTGAAGAGAGAAGTTTGGCCTTGTGTATATTCTTCTTTGACAATCAAGAAAGTCATCTGCTTGTCTTTGCCAATGTTCTGGCAGTAGAAGTAAAAAAATAAAATCGTTTGTTTGTTTTGTTGTTTTAGACTTCAATTCCCTGTGTAACTTCACAAAACTCCTGAATCTTATTTTCGAATTGTTTTATTTAACGTTCAAATGTTGAGTTGCAGAGATTATTGCTTTACACATGAAATAAAAACAGATGAGAAAAAACATAATAGAGAATTTATGATTGAATTGAGATCTATTTGTTGGTAGAAAAACAAAGATTTTGCTAAACTGAATGCAATGTGGCTTTCCAATTTTATTTATTTATTTTTTAGACATTTAACGCATTTTATCCAAGTGCCAATAAAATCACACTTATCCGGATCTTAGAAATGATGTTCATATACTCATCTTCTTTTGTAGACAATTTCTTCATCATCTACATCAAATGCTGGGTTACAGAGACACCTGAAGAGCCTATTTATGCCCTGCCATATAGAAGTTATAGGAGTAGAAGTTAGATTTATTTTTAAGTTACTTATTTTGTCAAACATGATTTTCAAGATAAGATGTACCTGGGTGACGAAAGGAGCTCGACAATTTATGTTCTCGGCGGATCCTCTTGATCGCTACTTTCATCAGAATCTTTTAAAATGTTCGTCTTTTCAATGTTCAAGCATTTTGTGTATACTATTTACAGCGAATGCACAAGCACCATTCTATAATTATTCAATTAAGAAAAAAAATATATAAAAATTAAGCCATATCTCTAGGCAAAATATTCAGAGTCTACCAGGTGAAACATGTACAACTCTTAACGGCTGGAAATTCTAGTACTACCTGAAATTCTTTTCCTGGAATTCTTAAAGCCACTGCACGCATTTTGATTTCTTCCTTCCTTACGTTGTTTTCTTGTAGAACCTGTAATCGCGTCAAAATAAGTTTGAATTGTATTGGCGGCATGTTTGTTACACAGAATTTGACCGTACCGCATAGTATAATAGTCGAGATGTTAACTTTTTCTTCTTAATCTTTTGGAGTATGGTTCAATCCCACAGCAGAGGTGCAAAGGGAAAATCGACTGAAAAGATGAGAATTACAGAATGATAGAAAATTACCATTTGTCACACATGAATAGAGTTACTTCAATGTCTACCACATTCAGTTTCCATAGTGAATTCATCAGTGTGTCTTTGCTTAGTCTCAGATGTGATTCGACGTCAATTTCGGGCCACTACCATCGATCCTGAATTGGCGTCTGACGTCTTCCTGAAGTTGAAGCAACTGAAAAGAACCTGGGGTTGATTATTCGATCAACTTAGCCAAAAAAAGGAAAAAGGAAAACTTGAATACTGGAGGAAATGAATTGCAGATATCTTCAATTAATGTAATGCAATCTAATGAAGGCTGTTCAAAGAGAAAGGGAAGAAAAGCTTGCTAGGAAACTAAAAGATTTTCTATACCGCTATATTCGAGGTGACAAAGAAGGATTCATGAAAAATAAAACGTTATTATGCCTAATTTCTAGTAAAAGCGAATAACTTGACATTTAATCCAAGTTTCTTTCAACAGCTAATTCAGTAGAAGCCATTGATGCCACGGCTAAATGTCCGATGTAGTCTTCAAAAAGTTCACTTCCAAAAATGAAGAGAAAGAACCATAGTGGGATCGACTGATCGAGCATTGTTTCCCTAAAGAAGAGATATATGAACATGAGATCAAATGCACTCTCATAAGAACAAAAAAATCAAAAATTTTAGGCGATTATTTATAAAAAGAACTTCAATTACTGAGGCATGGATGGACTGACTTAGATATGCAATGCTTTCCATTTCGATCATTCGCATCTCTTTGCACTGGATCGCTCAAAACTTGATATGCTTCGCCCAATTCCTGTATATAATAACAAGCTATTTGTCATGAAAGAGACAGAGACAAAATTGCCACATTATCAAGAAAATTGCCAGGGATTCTACTTTAATTGGTTCTGTAACTACTAACCAGACGATTGGATAAAGATAAGAAGTAAATAGAATTGCCTGAAATTTTTCAGCCACCTGAGGATCATTTGGATTCTTATCAGGAAGAACTTAGCTTGCCTGTACCACAAAAAGGAAGGCCAGACTCTTGATTAGAATTGCTTGAAATTAAAACTTGATATAAAGTTGAATTATGTGGAGCCCAGACTCTTGATTAGTACAATTGCCCATTCTAATCCACTATTTTGTCCTGTTGGATCCACTTGGTATTGCATATAGTTAAGAAAAAAAGATTCTATATGAAATATTTTTTTGTTGTAATGATTGTTTTAAATACTCAATGTACCTTTTAAATTATATCTTATGCTTATGATATATATTTAGTACATAAAATTAAATCGATTATAATAAGGTCATCAAATATTCAAATGATCTATTTTTGTGCCATAGTTTCAGTTAAAGGTTATTATTGGGTGACAGGGCCCCTGGAATGTGTCACCTCCTACAGGGGGGTTGCCTGCGCGTGACCACATAGGGCTCTGAACGTCCAGTGCCTGTCACAAGGGTTTTTCCCTTCAGTTAATAAATTGTCCTTTTAAATATATTTTACGTTTATTTATATGTTTTGCATGATCAATTATATTAAGACTATCAAACATCGTGTAGCAGATATTCTCTTGTTTCTATTTTTAGTTTTCAAAATCAAGCATTAGGTCTTATTTGGTATAAATTCCAATTGTTTGGCCCTTTATTAGTTTTCATATACTAATTTTAAGACAGTTAAATTTATATACTTTTTTGGAATTGCGAATATATCAATTTTAGACAAAATATTCATTTGAGTAGAATTATAATATCAAATCATGGAAAATGACATGTTAATATTTTTATGAGATAAGTCTATTTAATTTCAAAATCAACGTGGTTAAAGATCTTGTGATCAAGATGAATAGACGCTATTTATTAAAGTCTGAATACAAAAATTGATAGGTTGCTCTAAACCTGTTTGGATTGAAAAATTCATGAAAGTTCATTCCTGTTTTGACTAATTCATCTACAAATTAATTCAATTAAGTGATCCAACCTAGCATGGTAGGGTGTGTTAGATTTTCTTTATTTACTATTAAAGCAATTCAATTCTTGATTTTTTTGCATTCGGTTCTTCTTTCTCTCCTCTTATACGGCAGAACCTTAATAATTTAATACCTGATAAATTAATAACCTCAATTAAATAATATTTTTGATTGATTGATGAGTTTGTTTCACTCATAAATTTTGCACAATTTTGGCTTGATTATTTGTTAGATGTTGGGAGTATATAACGTTTTTGATGTGTTTGTTAGTGTTGTTTTGAAAATTAGAAAAGGCGATGCAAAAAAAGAAATTAAAGCAGATGAAGAGACCAAAAATAAGAAAATTGGAGCAGAAAGACAGCGCCTAGGCGCTACGAAACTTTAAAAAAAAAAAACTGAAATTTGGACTCGAAAGGCAGCACCTAGCGCTACCATTAGCACCTAAGCGCTGCAGACGTAGCACTTAGGCGTTGCGTTTAAATTGACGCGGCGCTACGTCTGGATTGTTTAGGGCTCGATTTTGGGCCGTTTTGAAATCCATAAAAACCCTACTTTCTACACAAACGGAGGAGGCACCTATAAATACATCTTTCTCACACTTTTGTGGGGATTCTTCACACATTAAGAGGCAAGATAACATATTTAGAGAATCAAAATAGAAGAATTCAAGAGAACAAAACAACAAGTAATTCAAGTGTTGAAGCATAAATTGGAAGGGGAAGAAGATCTTGGTGCAAGATTGATTTCTTATTCTACATTCTTATTCAAAACCCAATGATGTCTTCCATAATAACTTCTTATTTTTCTTTCATTACTATGAGTAGCTAATCTAATTTTAGGGTGAACAATATAACTGATTTGAGAACCTTTATTCTTTTATTTAAGATTTTTGTTCGTTATAATTATGTGTGGATTTTAATCATGTTCTTAATACTTTGAATTTTCTGGCCAATTATTCAATGATTTCGTGAACAATAATTGCGCAGAAATACAAATTCTTGTTTAGACCACGTATTAAAATCTGGTAAATTAATATAACGTGTAAAGATACATATATTAATTGCTGCGGTCCTATATGAATTCTTAGAACTATTATTTCGTTTAAATTATGTTGATTTGCATAGAGATATGGAATTGAATTATTTAAATAGGCTCAATGGGAACTCGAGAGGGATAAATTGAATACCGTAGAAGAATTTGACTGAACATTACTTTAGATTTTATGAATCTCGATATTAGAAGTAAAGGTGACCAATAGATGAACTTGTTCCGCCCTAATACCCATTTATTATTTGAACCCTCACTCACTTTTTGTTGCATCCATTCAAATTAATATTTGTTTCCAACAGACACACCATATTCAACCAAATTCACAATAAGATTTGGGGTGGTTTGAGAGTTTTTTAGTAGTTAGAATAAAAACCACTTTTAATCATTGTTCTCGTTTATTTTCGTTAAATAGAAGTTAGAAATAATAAATTGAGCATTAATGTACAGTCCTGGTGAGAACGATAATTCGGATTCAAAAGGTCCACTCAACTACTTGTTACGATCTGTCCACTTGCGTGATAAAATCGACAACAAGTTTTTGACGCCGTTGTCGGGACTATTTTCTTTAATACTGGTTTATTTATTTCTTACTTTTGTTTGACTTTTTTTTCATTTTCATTTTCTGTTCAATTGATCTACTTTTTTTTTTTTGTGCTCCATTGATAGGAAATAAGAAGAACCAAAAGGTCAAACTTCATAATTAAAAGTTCAGAGAACGTTTTACAACCACTTGGAACTTCACGGGAATGCTTTACTATGTCAAATACAAATTTTAGCGTTACCAAGTTTACGTTCCAATTTACTGTTTGACCTTACATGCGGAATTAATATAATTAATTGTAACAAGGCACAAATCAATTGTTGTCTAGGTGATTAAACATGCACGTCCAATTAAGCTTATGTTGAATTGTCGGTTTGCGTAAAGTAAATAAAACAGTAACAACACCAACTCACAATATGATGACGGAGAAACCCCAACGTGGGTAAAACTTCGGGACCAAGCCTGTAATTTTCACTATACCAATCCAGCCAATACAAGTTATGTCAAACTCCGTACCAAGTCAGACCCGCTGTTCCAGTCTCACGATCTACTGCCGTAGATGTTGCTAGTCTCCTGCTAGCTTCCCGATCTACCTCCTGCAGCCCAATCTGCTGTCCAATACAGCCTCTTGGTCTCTAGCTGATTGTATCACTAAGTGGAATTTCAAGAACCTCTTGTTCTTGTCCAATTCCTACGCTTGACGTCCATCTCTCTCAATCTCCCAATGAGAGAGTCCCTTCCTCAACAGATGAAGAAGTTCAGGTGTTTTGTCTTCACAAATAGTGATGTTTTTCTCAACAGTGGATTGCCCGCATCACAAGGTGTTTATGAATGAATTTCTTATTCAGTTCTACCTTGGATCACTTGAGAGAATATTGAAGATGATATCTATGTAAAGCACAATATGATAAATCTCTCTTTCACGTTCACGGCCTTTGTATTTATAGTTGGGGGCAATTAGGAGTCCTAGGCCGTGTCAAACTTTTCAGAAATCGAAAATACGATTTTTCATATAACACCGTCGTTTGAGCGAAAAACGAGCTAACGGCGAGCGACGTCACTTCGCTCGAGCGAGCGAGGACCATTCTGCTTCCTCTCGCTCGAGCGATGGCAGGGCGAATAGCTAGCGAGCTTCCGGCGCCTCGACCTTGATTTGAACCAAGCACTCAAACCATAGTCCCTACCATCTAGCTTTGCTAAATTTCACCCTAAGTCCCTAAATTTTATAACATTGTACAATTGAGTCCCTGACTTTTACAAATTTACAATTTAGTCCTTTTGTCCACAAAATCGCGAATTACACCTTTAGACCTAACAAACTCTCCCTTTGGCATTCTGTGACAAAGCTTTACAAATGAAGTCAAAACAATAAAAAATAAGTTAGGTCTTGACAATCAAAAATTAAATTACCCAAAAAACCCAATCACTGAGTCTTGTATTCCTTCGTGTACCTGTTTTCTGAAATCCACAAACTCATATACCAACTGTAAAAGCACGTGATAAAGAAAATATAAAAATCAATTAAAGCTCTTAATCACAAATCAACATAACAGTTTGAGATGTAATATTGATGCCAACCAAAACACCAACCAAGAAACCAACACCACTAAACATCAAAACTCAAACGGATGAATGTGATATGGAATGCAATGCAACGCCCCCCCTTACTGCAAGTTCAAATTTTAGTGTTACCAAATTTACGTTCCAGTTTACCGTTTGACCTTACATACGAAATTAATACAATTAATTGTAACAAGTCACGAATTAATTGTTGTCTGGGTGATTAAACACACACGTCCAATTAAGCCTATGTTGAATTGTCGATTTGCGTAAAGTAAGTAAAACAGTAACAACACCAACTCACAATATGATGACGGAGAAACTCCAACGTGGGTAAAACTCCGGGACCAAACCAGTAGTTTCCACTATACCAATCCAGCCAGTACAAGTTATACCAAACTCCATACCAAGTCAGACCCATTGTTCCAGTCTCATGATCTACTGTCGTAGATGCTGCTAGTCTCCTGCTAGCTTCCCGATCTCCCTCTTACACCCCAATCCGCTGCCCAATACAGCCTCCTGGTCTGTAGCTGATTATATCACCAAGTGGAATTCCTTGTCTTCCACCTCTCTCAATCTCCCAATGAGAGAGTCCATTCCTCAATAGATGAAGAAGTCCAGGTGTTCTATCTTCACAAATAGTGATGTTTTTCCCAACAATGGAATGCCCGGATCACAAGGTGTTCATGGATGAATTCCTTGTTCAGTTCTGCCTTGGATCACTTGAGAGCATTGAAGATGATATCTATGTAAAACACAATATGACAATCTGTCTTTCACATTCACGGCCTTTGTATTTATATTTGGGGCCAATTAGGAGTCCTAGGTCGTGTCAAACTTTTCAGAAATCGAAAATACGATTTTCCATATAAAAACATTGCTCGAGCGAAAAGCAAGCAAACAGCGA